CCAATTGAATACTGAAATTTATCCCTAATGCGAACTCCTAACTTTGCGTAAAGAGGATGGTGACTTCGATTTGACGAATATCTGGCAGTTTTTCGTGGCAGGGGCATAGTTCTAAACTTCATGCAGGACGTTGAAGTTTATAGTTAGCTGTGAAGATGGTGGAACTTAGCGTGGCAGTATTGGTGCTGGTGTTTTGCTGGAGAGCTGTATTCTCCAACATTAGTACTGCAGGTGGCTTTTCCCAACAACCATGTTGCCAGAAAGTCTCTCCCCCAGCAGCCTCACAGTTCCTCAACATAGCCTCAAAACCTTCCCACCACCGCCCCTACCCTCCCCACTCCCATTCCCTGTTTCCCCGAAGCAGCAGCACACACATCATGACGCAAGAGCTGACATACTTGAATTCTACTTATGACAAAAGTGTCCATCAAGAACACCAGAACACTAGCGCCCCTCAAACACCAGAACACTAGCGCCCCTCAAAAACACCAAACACTAGCGCCCCTCAAGAACACCAGAACACAAGCGTCCCACAAAGGGTCGTCAACACAAGCTCTCCACAAAGGATCGTCAATACAAGCGCCCCACAGAGGGACGCCAACACAAGTTCCCCACAAAGAGACGTCAATACAAGCTCTCCAAAAAGGGACGCCAACACAAGCGCCCCACAAAGGGACGTCAGCGCAAGCGCCCCACAAAGGGATGTCAACACAAGCACCCCACAAAGGGACGTCAACACAAGCACCCCGCAAAGGGACGTCAGCACAAGCACCTCACAAAGGGACGTCAGCACAAGTGCCCCACAAAGGGACGGCAACACAAGCCCTCACAAGTGACCATACACCGCAGCATGACACAGGCTGGAGTCCTGAGCTCAGCAATAAGACGATGATACCGCAGCGGGAGGGCCAGCTGGTTCAGTGCTACTGTGGTCCCCAGGAAGTTCTGATGGGAGGAAGGTGCCAACCATTCCCAAAAGCCATCTTAGTTGATATCGAGGCATCCATCTTTGAGGTGAGACTGCAATTGCTATATAATTAGCTTGCAATAGCACTTAATTATTAACAGTTATCTATTTGTAAAATTTTCTGTTGGGAGCTCGTGTCTCTGTACTGTGATCATTTAATTATTAATTATCTATTTGTAATTATCCATTAATAGCTCGTATCCCTGAATCGTGAACGCCTGTATCCCCTACGTTAGCTTTTAAACATGTTTATCATCTAATCCCCAAACTCGTAATAACAAATTGTTGCTCTTTTCCCCGAAGACCTATCAAGGGAGGGTAATTAAAAAACGGCGAAGAGTTCTTGATCAAGGAAATGGACCTGCCCTCTCCTTCCTTGGTGGAACTTGATTGCTCTCGTTTCCCAGGCACAGTAAGATTCCATGATATTAATAAATACATGCTTTTCTGAATTCACTCTTAAGCAATAAGTCCTCTTCTCCGAATTGTAAGCATTAGTACTCCCACCACCACCTGCTTGTAGCCCTTGCTTGAATTTGTGAATGATAATAGGTTGGCAGATAACCATCCAGGGAGTTACTACCGGCCCTGTCGTGTCACATGAAATGGAAGCCTCAAAAACGCTCTACAATTTTTTTTTTTTTTTACACAGGGTTTGAACAAGGTTGAGGATCCCTATTTTAAATTGACAAGCAAATTTACGGGTTTTAAGGATTCCTAACTTTATTGGAAAAGCTAAGAGCTGTACCTACATCAGCTCATTTAAAAAGCATTTTTATTGTTATGAGACATACAAGTAAGGAAACAGGATGAATTTGGGAGCCATCTGTGGGCAAGCATTTTCATTTGATCAACTGACTTTATCTCGTTGACATCATTATGCTGTACGAATGTGTTCCATACTCGAGTCATCCTGGGTATGTATGATCTCAGATGGATGATGTTCTGGAGAGGGTACAGCCAGAGTGAAGTTGCAGCTTTCTGCCCGTCTTGTGGCATAAAAGCTTGTTTCATGCTGTCCTCGAAGTGGATCCAAGTGTGGTATTTTGACAATATTGGCCTTGTACATAACAGTAAGGCCACCCACATCCCTCCTATGTTGAAGGCACTGCTGAAATGTCAGATCTATCCAAGATGGGTCCAGGCGAGAATGAGACGTCTTGCTCTGTTCTCTACTCTGTCAAGCAGTCGCAGATGAGAGGGGGGGGGAGGCAACCAAGAAAGTGGGAGCATACTCAAGGTGTGAGCGTACTTGCGCCTCGTACAGGATCTTGCAACCCCTACTGTCAAGCAGATGCGAGATACGGCGCAGTGCTGTAAGCTTCCTGGCTGCCTTGTTTGCAAGATTTACAACATGGTTCTTCATAGTTAGTTTGGAGTCAAATTTCACCCCAAGGATATCAACTTTTTTCTCCAGGGCCAACACCCTCCCCTTCATCCTTACTACTGCACCAGCATTAAACCCTCATGGTGCCTAGAAGACGACATCATTTGCGTTTTCTCAGGTGCAAATGTTACCTGCCATCTATTTCCCCAAGCTGATATAGCCCCCAGCTGGTGATTGATGTAGCTTAGAGCACTGGCATTTCTTCTCTTGGATAATGAATGTCAGTGTACAGTCGTCTGCATATGCATGTGATCTGGGATGAGATGAAGAAGGTCGTTGAAGTAGACATTCCCTAACATGGACCCAGCACGCTTCCTTGTGGAACACTCCCCCCATAGGGTGTCTTGCTGATTAAGTTCCATTGAGAACTACACTTAGAGATCTACCATAAGGTAATCACTGAGGAAAACATAGCGTAGAGCCTGAAATTTCCCCCAGTGTTTGGGAATTTTTTGCAAAAGGGGCCCCCGGGTCCCCAAAACCCGGCGAAAGCCCCCAGAAAATGTCCAGTGAAACCCACACAGTGACTTTTTTTTTCATCCAGTGAGGTGCCACTTAATGGAGAGGTTTAAAAACCCGATCAGCACAGAGAAACCCTTTTCCGGGAAGCCATATTAACGACCCACAAAGTGAGTGGAAGTAAATAAATTTCGTTTTTTTGTCTTGAGTTTATTGTCTCAAGGATCTACCCATGATTGCCCAGGAGTGAAAATGGTCCTTTTTTGCTGATTTTCTGCTCTGCTCTTCTTTTTTGAACGGGGCCCTACATTTGCCCCCTTTCCATAGAAGGGCCATTTACACTTTTACTAGGCATTTTGCAAAAAGGGATGCGAGTTAGGGGGTTGCTGCTAGCTGGTCTGCAATCTTCTAAAACTTGGGCTCAACTTGCCCGGGGCCCACAGCCATTTTTTTGGGCCCAACCCGTTTTAAAAAAGGGGAAATTGGCCCCTCCTCCTGCCTTTTTGTCACCACGAATTTTTGACACAGTTTTGCACAAAGCCAAGGGGGTTTCCTTTGGCTGGATCAGAAACTTGAAATTTTGGTAGAAAAAGTGTTTCAGCAAAGAGGTCCGCCCTTCTTTTGACTACTGTAGATGGCCCCCATCCTGTCGATTTAAGGTGGAAAAAGGGTTCATGGGGGAAAAGATAACCTTGTCTGCCCCTTGAACCAGGGACCACCGGGTTTTTGGAGCCAAAACCCTACCTGATGCTAGCTTTCTTTTAGTGCCAAACCTCCCTTTTAGCAAGGGCCCCCATTTTTGAACATCCCCATAGGGCCCTACAGGCTTGCGTGTCCCAAGTTCCGTTTATAGGGGGAAAGGATGTCTCTTAACCTTCCCCCCTGTTTTGTACTTACATAGCACCTCTCTACAACAAAAACCCAAAAACCAAGGCATCTGTGGGCTTCGCCACATTTTTCCGGTGGGGAAATTGTTCTTGTTGTGTTTAAAGGATTGTCCAGTAAAGGGCCTTTCATTTGGGGTTTCCAACATCCCCTTGGAGAAAAGAAACCCCAATCTGGTGGCGACCCTCAGAGCAAAGGCTGGCCAATTACCTTTTTCCCCCAAAGCCCAGGTTGTGCGTGTGGACCCCCCTCTTCTTTTTGGGATTTTAAAATGTCGTAAAAAAAACCCTTTGGGCAACAAATCCAACGTAGCCGAGGGTTGCAAGTGACTAGGGCCTTCGGGCCAGATCACCACTACTGGGTCAAGGGGGACCCCAGAGATAGTTTGGGGAAAAATCAAAAAATTTTTCTCATGTAAAACCGGGCAAAAAGGTCTTCAAAGCCCCCGTATGGGGTGCTGGTTGAGGCCCCAACAATTATGTGATTTTTGGCTTTAAAAAAATGGTAAAAAAACCGACAGGTTGTTAGGTAAGAAACATATGCAACAGTTAGGTATCTTTATTTCGAAACTTTTCCCGCCTACACAGAAAGGCTTTTTTTCCAGTCAGTACAGAAAATTTGGGATAGAAGCAGAAGATACTTGAAGACGATTACATTCCATCAAAAATTAAAAATTTTTTAGGTGGTCAATCCCCCAGTCTGGAAAAAAGAGCATTGTTTCCATAATAAGGGAAACCAAAATGGAAAGAAGTGACAGGATTTGGGGCTTTTTATAGCGCCAAGAGGTGAGACGTAGGGCCCCTAGGGGAGGTAAGAACTCAGATGTTGAGAGTCAGGTCCCTCTCAAATCCCGCCCCTCCACTAGTTTAAGTTGTCGAAGTTGATTGCCAAAGGGCTGACCAAAACCCTTTTGGGTTTCGGGTCTGACCCGATTGGGAAAATTAAAAAGGGTTTAAAAAACCCACCCGGTTTTTTAAAGGTTTAAAACACATATGGAACATTTTGGTTTTCCTTTTAATTAGAGGGACCTGACCTCTCAACATCCCGAGTTTTTTTACCCTTTTCCAAGGGGCCCCTTCCCACCCTTGGCGCAAAAAAAACTCCATCCGTCACTTTTTTCCCATATTGTTTTTATCTATGGAACAAGGGTCTTCTCCAGAATGGGGGGAAATGGGCCACCTCAAAACTTTTTAAGGGGGATGGACGGTTTTATTAGCCGGGGGGGCAAAATCTTCTGCTTATCAACTTTTCTTTTTTTACTTTACTGAAAACCTACTGTGTAGGCCAAACGTTTTCAAATAAAGATAAACCCATCCTTTGCATAATGTTTTTCTTACCTAAAAAAAAGGAATGAAAGGGGAGGGTGGGGGCCTTTTAAAAGCGCCAAGAAGTGAGAAAGTAGGTCACTTTTGAAGAGGTAAGAACTCAGATGTTGGAGGTCAGGGGCCCCCTTTAAACCGCCGTTTTCACCCATAGAGGGTTTTCGAAGTTTATGTAGGCCCGTACCAAGAAACCCGTGTTTTCATGTCCGGGCAGATTGAACATTAAAAAAAGGTTAAAAAAAACCGACAGGTTGTTAGGGAAGACACACTGTTTTTCAAAATGTGGTTTTTACCTAAAAACCTGTCGGTATTTTTAAAACCATTTTAATGTTTTAAAACTGCAGACACTGCAAAACAAGGGTATCTTGGTACAGACCTACAATCCAAAATTCGACAACCCTACTAGGAAACGGGGGTTGGGATTTTAGAGGACCGACCTCCCAACAACTGAGGTTTTTACCTCTTCTATGACCTAGTCCCCACCCCTTGGCGCTATATAAGGGTCCAACCCGCCACTTCATCTCCATAAATTGGGGTTTTATACTATGGGAAAAAACGCTCTTCTCCAAAATGAGGACTGCCACCTCAAAACTTTAAAAGGGGGATGGACGATTTCATCGTTTCAAGTATCTTCTGCTTCCCATCAACTTTTTGACTTTTGACTGAAGGGAAACCTACTGGAAGGGGAAACTTTTGAAATAAAGATACCTAACTGTTTCATATGTTCTTACCCAACAACAATATGTTGACAGTTTTTGTTGTACAGAAGGGGTCAATATTTTTTCCCTTAAGGGAAATTTATGGGGTCCTGCATGTTGCCCTTTTTTAAGGGGCTGTACTTTTACATGCCCAGTACAGAGGGACTAGTGTTTTTATACAGACTTTTATTAATTTTCTATGATTAAAAAAAAATCATCCTACGCGAAAGTTTTTTCCCTTTACGAATGGACTTTAAAACTTAGAAAAAAATTCAGCGTGGAAAGCCCAAATTAAT